AATAAATACGAATGCTAAACATGAACAGTTGTTCCGTATGAATGAAAGGTACCTATACAACTACTTGATGCCGTAGGTTGAATCATAAGTAAGGTCTTAACAGTTCATTATTAATACACGCGGCATATCATAACCACAGTTTCGACTGATGCTGCCGACCTTTATCAACAGTAAACTTTACAGCGATATGTTAAAATCAGTCAAACGACGCTTGTTCCTGCGATAAAACATTTACACCGCGTGTATTTCCATGAAAGTCTTAATACTTTACTCTGGAATATGAATAGAAGAAAAATTTCAAAACCCGTTCTGCTGCATAGGACTTCTGGGGGCCCTTAGTTTATAACTGGGCACCAGCAATGGAGTTGAAATGTAGGACAACCTGCAGAAATTTCTTTGGAATATCTCACACAGATGGTCAATCTTGTTTCACATTCTCATCCGTGTGATAAGGTCTTATCATGCGAAGTCGTCTGCTCTTAATGATATATATGAACATGCCAAATATTACGTAGAAAGTCATATCAAATATCTGCAAGCCGCTCTGCATCCACACTGATTTATTGCAGCCTAGTCACAGCCTCTCTAAAGTTTAAACAACAGAATCAGCTTCCATTATATTTTTCCATCTTTCATCCACTCTTTAAATATTTGACCGAAATAGGCTTTAATCCTGACTAGGAGTTTACTTAACAATATGGTTATGCAAACGCTTTCAGGAAACTTCCAGTTTCTTTTGTACGGTCCAATGCCAAACGCACTGTATGCTTCATTTTCCGTTATCCGAACTGTGCTGGCTATGGAATTCCCTCGAATGCAATTCGACGCTCCTCCAACGCTGGTCAAGTAATTTGACCAGTGAATCATTCAAGCTTGTTCTAGAATCTATTCGTAGTGCAGTCAACAAGAATGTCATGTACAATGAGTATGTCATCTCCTATTAAATAGGCCAAAACTGGATTGTTATTAACATGGCTGTTTTGCAGGGGGGTGGGGGAGGAAAGTGAAGATCACAACTACGGCTAAAACTGATTATATATTTCGCGTTACTTTCTGCCGTAGCATTGTGATTAAGTATTTATCTGTAGATATGGAGCTCCGTTTCGCAACGAAACGAGTCGATAATTGAATTTCTAAAATCTTTATTGCATTTCGACCCACGGATTGAGAAGGAGGAGCAGAAACTGACTTGAGGCTTTATGATGTACTTTGAATTACGCAAAGTTGAGGAAACAGTTATCAAACATTTCACTCGATTGCTACTTCTTTCTCTTTGTGAATTTACGTATCGATCAGTGAACAAGTGAAAGCTGAATTCAAACTTTTCCCCATGACTTACTTGACATAACAGCTTCTCTTGACAAGAGATATCGGTTGGGTGAGACACTGGCACAAGCTCAATTCAGATTTGGTAAAGTCATGGATATTCGAAGCCAGTGCAAAGGCTTAAATAGAAATGCTGTCGCAGGATCGCTTCTTCG